CACACAGACACACAGACACACACACAGACACACATACACACACAGACACACAGACACAGACACACACATACACACACACAGACACCCATACAGATGTACACACAGACACACATACACACACAGACACACAGACACACACAGACACACAAACACAGACACAGACACACATACAGATACACACACATACAGACACACACACATACACACACAGACACACACACAGACACACACAGACACACAGACACACAGACACACACACAGACACACAGACACAGACACACACATACACACACACAGACACCCATACAGATGTACACACAGACACACATACACACACAGACACACACACACAGACACACACACACACATACACACAGACACAGACATGGACACACAGACACACACACACATACAGACACACAGACACACACACAGAGAGACACACACAGAGACACACACACATACAGACACACATACAGACACACAGACACAGACACACACACAGACACAGACACACAGACACACACACACATACACAGACACAGACACACACACAGAGACACACACACATACAGACACACAGACACAGACACACACACAGAAACACACACATACAGACACACACACATACACACACAGACACACACAAAGACAGACACACACAAACACACACAGACACACACAGACACACACACAGACACACAGAGACACACATACACACAGACACACACACACAGACACACACATACAGACACACAGACACAGACACAGACATGGACACACAGACACACACACACATACAGACACACACAGACACATACACACACACACACACACACATACAGACACACAGACACAGACACACACACAGACACGGACACACACACACATACAGACACACACACAGACACACACACAGACACGGACACACACACATACAGACACACACAGACACATACACAGACATACACACACACATACACACACATACACACACACATACAGACACACAGACACAGACACACACACACACACACATACACACACAGACACAGACACACACACACATACACACATACACACAGACACACACACACAGAGAGACACACACAGACACACACACATACAGACACACACACAGACACACAGACACAGACACACACAGACACACATACACACAGACACACACACACACACAGAGACACACACAGACATACATACAGACACACACACACTGGCATTTCCTGGAATCTGCACCCTGTCTTGGGCATCCCATTCCAGAGGGGCTGAGCCTGTGCCCTTCACACTGACCAGCCAGGAACGACCCCATCCACCGAGAAGTGGGGTGCTGTCAGTGTGGCTCAGTGACCCCCACGACTGGACAGGTTGGAGGGCTTGCTTCCTGTGAGCTGCTTGTTGTATTACGACTCAGGACCCCTCACTGGATCTCCCCAGTCAGTCTCCTGAGGCTGGTGTGTGCAATATGGGAGGTGCAGCAGCGGGGGTGGGGGGGTCCCTGACAACAGGACCTGGAGGCCTGAAGGACCCGAGCACTCAGCGCTCGGAACTGTGACATGGTCACTTTGCTGGAAAAGTGACAACCAGCTGCCCTGAGCCCCGCTTCCGTCCAAGCTGCTTTGAGACCCACTCTGGGCTTACAGGGTCTGGGCCTTGGCTCTTCAGCGGCTTTGTGACTGCAGATCCTGCAAGTGCAGCTTCTGACTTGCCCCGTCCCCCAAGCCGTCCAGGCCCCTGCCCTGTCCACAGCTGCAGGTCTGAGTCATGGGACCTCTCTGCTGAGGGGACAACTCAACCCCACACAGCCCGACGGGAGGGGAGGACCAGCACGGTGCGTCCGGGGGGGCACAGCCCAGAGACACAGCCCCCGGCTTCAGCTGCTGTGAGTGAGTCCCAAGCTGCCGCCGCCAACCGCTCAGGACCCTGAAGAGACCCCCTGAGCGGGCGAGCAGGAACGCGGGCCCGAGGCTGAGAGCCGCTGCCTGGGTGAGGCTCTCGTGGGAACTCCAGGTGCCCAGCGGGCAGCAAGCAGGCCTGAGGTTCCCCCACTCCCCTCCAGGACGCCCAGGCCAACCCCCCACAGGCAGCAGTGTGGGTGGGGGACGAGCCGACAGGACCACAGCAAATCAGAGGACGGCCACGGGACCGGCAACCTGCCGTTTTTAAAATATAACATTTATTGCTTTTAGATGGTTTGATACAGAACAGCGTTTCTTCTCATTTTGAATTTGGAAGTACTATACAACTGGATACAAAGAGGAACGAGAAGTACCAAAACCGAACTTGTGATTCTCTGTTCATGTGGCATAAACCAGTTTTGTACGTAACATGTAGCAGCAGTTTTTTAAGTTCCCTTTAGAAAAATATGAATTCTACACATTTATTATTGTTTCCTGTTTAATGCATGGGCTGAAATCACCAGGATCAACTTCCTTCTGGAGGAAAGAGAGGAACAGAGCGTGGAAAGAACGGTGAAACTTTGAAACAAACAGGCATCCGACTGCCACACGGCTTCCCCGGGGGGCTGGGGGCAGGGGGGAAACAGCCTCGGGTTTTTGTTTTCACAGCCGGGAGTTTCATGTAGTGATTGAATCTCAGCATCGTGTTCATAAATCAAAGAGAAAAAACAAAAGAGAGAAACTTGCACCTCAAAAAACTTTTCAGAAGATCCATATATATATATTTCTTTTTTTTTTGTAAAAGCCCTGAGAGAAGGAGAAAAAGAATCAAACAAAATGTATAGGAACAAATTAGCTGGACATGCAAACTAAGCTATGATTCACCCAGAGTTTAAACAAATCACAAATTTCACAGTTTAATATTGGGGGAGGGGACAGAACAACAAACAAATGATACACCTCTCAACCTCACTAATAAAATGTGGCAAGACCTTATCGACTACGAGGGTACAGATGAAGGCTAAATAAAGCTTTAAATCAATAGTGATTATTGCGAGCGGCAGCCTTGGCCGCGGTGCCGGGCTGGTTCCGGCTACATCTCACCCCAGCGCAGAGTTAACTCGTGGCTTCTCCCCACAACGTTCCAAGTTTTAGTGTGGAGAGCTGCAAAGGAAAACAAAACACCCAAATAATAATAATAACAACGAAAATAACAACAATCGTCATAAAAAATTAAGGGATGAATGAACTGGTTTTAGGTAAGCACACCACACTTGGTGTGAAGTTGATATGGGGTCGGGGTGGGGGGTGGGGGGTCATTGGTTCTGATTCGTCTTCACCTAAAGTAAATAAAAGCTCATTTTGAAACTGGTTCACACATCCCTAATACAGTTAAAAATCTTAATATACCTCAACCTTTCTCCTTTCACATGCAAAGATACCGCTTTTTCATCATGTCAAGAACACGCAGCTTCCTTTGAAGTCTGGGCAGTTGGATTTTGGCCACCAGGAGTGGGTGAGGAAATGGAGGGGGGGTGGGGGTTCCCTGTGGTGGGCACAGGTCTGAGGACAGAGGAGCCCTGGGTCCCGGGGGGCCTGAGGCACTGAGGCTGGGGGGTCCCGGAGGGTCCTGGCTAGAGGGCCGGCCGCTGAGCACTGCCCAGCTACAGTAGGGTCAGTTTCCAGTCGCTGCTGGCAGCTACAGTGAGGGGGTCTATTGCCTGCATACGATGCTCACGGAAAGAAAATCCACCTCTGCGCGCCCAGGGGCTCGGGCGCCTCAGAAACTAGAGACGTGTTTATCTTCAAGCACCAACCCCAGATTACAGGAAGGTAAACATATACCTATTCTTCCTCTTCCATCTCGCATGTGCAGTTTTGTTACCAGTAGTAGAATTCCCTCGCTCTGCAAAGGATGGGGGGCGCAGGCGGGCGAGGCCTGGGCTGGGTTTGGCAGGAAGACCTGGCAAGCGACAGGTCCTGCCGCCCGGCTTCCCTGGAGGCCCCGGTGCCCACCGCACCTCCTCTCCCCTCCCCGCTGCCCCCCGGCCCCCCCTGGGGCGGGTGGAGAACCGCGGGGCCCCTGCTGGGTGCTGCAGTCACAGAAGAGAGGCGTGTCTAAGTACAGTAGAAGAGCTGCCGCCCCAGGGGGCCTGGCAGAGGCTGCGGGCGGACGCTCACACGGGGGGCCCGGGCAGGGGCGGCCCAGGTCTCCCAGGACAAATATTGCCCATTTGTTTCTGCTGACTGCAGAGACCAGCAAACTGATGAACTACAAATAATAATAATAATAATAATATTATTAATACATATACCAAAAAGGGTGGGGGGGGGAGGAATCAGATATATGACATCTATGCATGTTTTCCGCCGGTTCAGTTGCCAGGGGGACTCTCCTCTGTCTGGAAACTGTAGCAGTAATGGCATGTCTAACGCTGAGAGAGTGGGAACGTGTACCAGGTCGAAGCTAGAATCTTTCCTGGTTTTGGCTTGAACCAAATTGGAAACCTTCATCAACCACATCCTGCAGTACACCAAGGACCAAATTACAGCTCCACCATGTAGCAAACAGAAAAAAAAAAAAAGTCTATTTGAGAAATGAGCATCTTATCCACATTTCCTCTGGGAATTTACATGAAATTCACATCACTTTCTTCCAGTTATTGGCCATAGGTATCCAAGGGCATGTTTGTTTGTTTGTTTTTCTTCTGTTTCCAGCTCACAAATGTGACTATCACAGATTCGCAAAAACAAGCTCACACACACCAAGACAGAAGGTAATGTTAATGCTTAAATGAAAAAGTCCTCTCCAAATAATTCATTAAAATATTTGCTTTGTTTTTCAAAAAGTCATTTTGGAAACAACACCCAGGACGACACCAGGGGCTGTAAGTAGTTAAGGCACTCAAATCGCTGGTGCGGCCCTTCCCCCGCGGTCTGTAAGACGATGGCACCTGGGGGGCAGCCACCCCCTCTCTCTCCACCCCCCAACAGCCGAGGGACACTGAGGGCACCTCAGGAAGCAGATTCAGGGCGCTTTGCTCTGCTGGCTCTCGTCTGCGTGCTGGGGGGCGGGCCGGGTCGTCATTCCAGGCCCAGGAGCGAGGCACTGTCGGCAGTGGGCAGGAGGGGGTGTGCGGGCCTGCGGCCTGGCAGCTCTAGCAGGTCCTGCAGGAGGCCTGAGGGGCTCTCCCGGCCGGGGTCGCCCTGGGGCGCCGGCTCCCGGGGGCTGCCGGTGGCAGCAGCCCTGGGCATGCTCCTGCTGGCCGCGGCCTGGCTGGTCCCCGCCGTCCGCTCCTCCCGGCGGCCGGCGTCCTTGGCGGCGAGGCTCTCCCTCCGGCTCCGTGTGAGCGCCATGTGGGCGCCGGCGTGCAGGCCCGCGTCCGCCTCACCCTCCGATGCAGGGTGGGCGCCGCTGTGGGCAGATTCGCTTTCGCTGTCCTCCTCAGCGCGCTCCTCCCGATCACTGTCCTTGCCGTGGTGCTTGGCGTGCCGGGCCTTCTGGTGGACCCGCTGGTGGCGCACCAGGCTGTGCTTCAAGGTGAAGGTCCGCTCGCAGGTCTGGCACTTGTAGGGCCTCTCTCCTGCGGAACCGAGAGGGATTCAGGGCTGTGAGGCTGGCCGCCGGCGCATGCTGCCAGCTCCGCCCGAGCGCAGCAAAGACCTGAGGGGTGGCATGGTGGGCCGGTCGAGCCCCCCACCCGCTCTCAGGAGCCTCCTCTGTCCCAACCACGGCACAGGATGGGGAGCAGGGCCGCACAGGGCGTCTTTCCCACCCCCGATCCGGGACCGTGGGCACGCAGGAGCCAGACAGGCCCGAGGAGGGGCGTGGTGGCGGGCCCCGGGGCGGCCCCTCGGGAGTCAGAGCTGCAGACGCCCTGCTCCTCGACTCGGGGCGGCTGGGGGAGCCGCCTGCCCAGAGCCCACGGACACCTCTGCTGGGGGCCCAGTGCAGGGCCACGGGCAGGGGAGGGACATGGGGACCGAGACATCGGGGTGTCTGCCTGCTCGGCCAGACGAGGTGTCCCGAGCACGTCCAGGCCTCCTTTCTGCTCAAGCAGTCGCCCCTGCGGGGGGAGTTTGCAGCCCCAAGCCCAGAGGTGGTGGCTTCCAGGAGGAGCGAGAGACTGTGCCCGGGCAGTAAGCAGGTGCCCATCCCGTTCAGCCCCATCAGCCCGGCGGCTGCATGGCCAACCCAGCACCTGCTGGCTGATGGGTACACCCCGGTGCCTCCCTGCAGATACCTGGGCAACTAGAGCTGGCTCACCGAGCACCCAGGAGTGCCCCGCACAGGCCTGGGCAACGAGCCCTGCCCAAACGCCTGCCTCACTGCAGCTTCCTGGGCCATCCTGCAGCCCTTCCTGGCACCTGTATTCTTCTAGAAGCTTCTAGAAGACAAGGATAGCCACCAGCCCCTTTCTGGAGACAGGGAGACTGAGGTGCAGAGGGCAAAAAGGTTGAGCAGAAGGCTCTGGAAAACGCTACTGCGGCAGCCCGTGGGTGCTAAGAGGACGAGCCTCCTGCGCGCCCTGTGTGCCCGGGGCCGCAGCCGCCAGCTCCGTCCCTGCTCCCTGCCCCCCCGAGTCTGCCCCGGCCCTCACCTGTGTGCGACCTCATGTGCCGGGTCAGGTCCTGCAGGGACCAGAACCTCTTGCTACACACGCTGCACACCTTCTTCCTCTTATCCGCCTTGCTGGCTGCGCTCCTGGGCGTGTCTATCTTTGGCTTCTTGTCATCGTCACTCTTCTCCAGGGGTCTCTTCTCGTTGGGGCCCTCCCCGTCCCCGTCCCCGTCCCCGTCCCCGTCCGAGGGGCCCTCAGCCGCCTCGCTCTGCTTCTCCACCGGGGCCTCGGGCGTGGCCTCCGCCTCGGCAAGGGGCTCGGGGGTGGGGGGCTCAGGAACAGCGGGGTGCAGCCCCTCGTGCTCCCGTGGGGGCGCGCTCTCGTCGCTGGGCTCCTCGCGGTCGTGGGCCTTGCGGTGGCGGCTGAGGGTCCCGAGGAACTTGAAGCTCTTGCCGCACACGTGGCAGGCGTGCTTGTGGTCCTGAGCGCCCGCCTCACCCTCGGCCAGCTTGAAGCCCATAAGCGTGTTGGCGAGGTTGAGGTCCAGGCTCTTGTTGCTGACCGTGTCCTCCTCGGGGCCGTTGGCAGCCTCGGCCGGCTCCTCCTCCGCGCACTCCTCCTCTCCTTCCTCCTCCTCCGCGGGTTGCGCGTCCTCCTCCTCTGGCTGCACGTCCTCCTCCGCCACCACCTGCTCCGCCGCCTTCTGCGCGCCCCCCGGGGGATCCTCTCTGGCCGGGGCTGCGGCCGGGCTGGGCTCCGACGCACCGTCCGGGGTCGGCGCGGGCGGCTCCCGGGCGGTGAGGTCGAGCACTTCGCTACCTGCCGCCGAGGCCTCTGCGTCCGACTGGCTGTCTGCGAAGCAAGCACGGGGCAGGCTGAGACCTGGGTCCACAAACACACCCCTTCCGAGGGCTCGCCTGTGACCCACCCCTCGGGGCCTGTCTCCCAAACCCGAGCAAGGGTTTCTCTCACCCAAATCCTCGTCACCCCTTACATCCCCCAGGCAGATATGAGGTTAATTTTAAAATGGAGCCTCCACGGGGACGCACACACAGGCTGGGGTACCAGGCTGCCTGTGCCCGCGACCCCTGCCCTCCCCTCCACCCACTGGAACACACAGGGATGCTCCGGGTCCCCAGGGGCGGGCGCGCGGCTCAGGGCAGCCAGACAGAAAGGACCGCGAGAGGACAGCGGGCGCATTCCAGAGACTCGCAGCGCGAGCGAGGTTGAGGAAGCTGGGCGGGAGGAGTTATTTTCCAGAGCAGAGAGCCGTACACACATGCAGCATACAGAGGACCCCCACCCCGGGGCCTGGGGAGGGGCTCACAGGACGGGGCCCAGAGCAAGTGCTCCGTGTCTGCAGCCGCACGCTCCCGCCTGCCGGCTGGTCTCCAAGAGAGCTCGCGGGCAACAGGAGACACATGCACAGCTGTCTGCACACCTGCGGGCCCCCTGGCTGCTGTCGGGACCCGGGTAGGGAGCGGAGACGTCTACTGTCTCTCGACTGGTTCCTACCTGTCCACTCTCCACAGCAAAACCAGATGTGGACAGTCCGCTGGTTTCTATCGGCCTTCTTAAGGGCTGGCCCCTGGGAACACTGTCGACACCCAAGAGATGACGGCGTTGATCAAAAGCACCACCTCCTCGCCATTCCGGCCGAACAAGGTCTTAGCCCCTTTCCATCGTGAGCTCTGACAGTGAGGCTAAGGCTCGCTGAGCCCAACCTTTAACTACAGGTGCAATGGCCGGGGCGCCACTGAGGCAGCAGGCTGACAGAACCCGCCCTTCTGTGGCACAGACACGGCTCGCGCCGCCCTCACGGGGCCTGTTCTCGAGCCCGGGTTCACACACCAAACCTGGCCCCTCCCCTGCCATGTGCAGACTGGCACCACGCCGGCCTGAGGCACAGGCTCTGTGATCTCCCACTGGGGCAGCCCTAGGCCTGCAGGGAAGCAGAGGCATCGGCCCCACCAAGGCCCGCTACACGGCTCTCCCGCTTCCTTCTCTCCGCTGGTTTCATTCTGACTACGTTTTTGGCAGCCACTGTGCAACTATCTCAGAAGCTTTCAGAAGGAAGCAAGTAATTGTGGGGTGAGTATAAAATTTCTGACAATAAATGGCTTTTGGCAATTACCCAAAAGATTAAAGACTCCCGATACGTATATATATATATATATATACACACACACACACACACACACACATATATATACACACCTCCACATTAACATCTAGGCCATTTTCCAAGGAAAAATCAGATGCTCATTTTCTTTAATTGCTTGGAGAGCACCTTTTAAATGGATTTTGGTGTAAACTTCAAAATAAAAAAGTACAGAATGCTTGGTTTCTTATTTATTGGCTCAGTGAGTAGTTACACTAAAACCATACATAAAAAGGGGTGGGGGGGAGGCCAAGGGGTGTATGTGTGTGTGTCTGGTTACTTATATCTGTCCCAGTACATTCTAGGCTGTTCCCCTAATCACTATTTTTCTTTTTCACCAAAAGAACATGGGTTTTTTCGACTGCAGTAGAATATATTTAAGATGATAAACTAAGTTAATTCTGAAACCAAACCCAAGTCAGTATACTCAGATCAGCGTTCTGACCGCGGGGCCTTCCTCAGGGGGGAGATGGAGCTCTCTGAAGGCAGCGGAGGCCAGCTCGCTTCCTCTGGGGCGCTTGGCCGCCTTCTGCCCGACGTCCACCAGGGGGCGTTTTCAGTGGGGCAGCCGGGCCCTTACAGTTGCAAGCCACTCCAAGAGTTTTCTTGGCAATCCTCGGGTGCAACGGACTTAACCTCTTGGGTCCTGTGGATGCGCAATGTACGAGGCCAGGCCCTACGCTGACCTTGCCCTCCCCAAATGCAGGCGGCTGAGCTGGTGACTTTTGTAAGCCATGCGGCTTTAAACATTTTCTGTTCCTGCCAGCCAGGCCCTTGTTTGTGACACGAATCTAAGAAAACTGCTAGAGGAAGCAGACAGACTCTGAAGGCACTTGTAGATAAGAACTCCAAAGCTCCTCCCGTGTGAGAGTGGAGACCTTCGAGTCAGGCCAACAAGTACACGTCTACTGCTTCTGAGGAATCTCATGCTCTCCAACTGAGCTGACAACCTATGACCTAAATATCCATCTGCCTGGGCAGGGGCGCGTGCGGAGGGGAGGAAGGGGCCTGGCCCATGCGGGTCCCGAGGGGTGCTTCAGGGCAGCAAAGGGGGCGACAGTTTCAAAATACCCATGCTGGGGAGCTCCCTGGCTTTGATTGCAGTGGGCACTGGTTCAATCCCTGGTCAGGAAAGTTAAGATTCCAAAGGCCACACAGCACAGCCAAAAAATCCAAAAAACTTCACGCTCACATTGATTTCAAAAATCACCCACAGGTGCCCACAAACAGGGAGGCTGCGACAAGCATCACCTGAGGAAGACCCAGGAGCGTCCTCTGCGGGGACAAAGTGTACCTCAGTCTCAGCCTGGCTCTGAATGATGAACACGTTCCTTTCAGCTAACATTGCCCCATCCCAACACTGTCCGCGTTCCTCTGGGGAAAATCTACGGCACACTGCTGTGAGAGACCTTCTGTGATTGAGAAAGTCAGACCTACGTTGCAAAACATGTTCTGGGATTTTCAGAAAACGCAACCTAGGCATATAAACCTAGAAATCCCTCAAGAGCGGCTTGGGTCGTTTCCTGCCTTTGTGTTTTTATGGTTTTTCTCCAAAGCCTGACTTTTAACTTCATGGGAAGGAGCCTGAGAGAAACCTGCACCCTCCATCGCCCTCACCTGGTTTGAAAAGCTCTCCAAAGCACCAAACTCCCACTCCCCGACCCTCCTCCTCTCCGTCTTATCTCTCAGCCCTCTTTCTCACTGCGGACCGTGACCACAATTACACCAAACCTCTATTTTCTCTACGCTGGTTTCTCCTTACAACTCTCACTGAATTTTCTTTTTCCAGAGGCTTTGTCCCTTAAAGGGAACCTGTGCACTCTCCTGGCAGGGTGGGGGTGAGGAGGTTGCTGTGAGACTTGAAAAACCAAACTCAGAACTGCAATTTGTAAAACAAGTACCCCCACCGGGAAGACATGGAGCTGGCCCCAGGCCACACGAGCTTCGCGTCTGCAGGAGCCCTGGTTTGGGTGCTTCCTGATCACACAGCTCAAGATGCTGAACCCAAAGTGTGCATCGTGGCTGTTACACTTTAAGATTCGTCTTCCAGTGTGGGGGCCAAGGGTACCCCGCAGCCCCCTGGGGACCTTGATGGGCTGTGAGAGTGGGGCCAGGCAGAACCTGACGTGGCAGCTGAAACTCAGACACTGGGAGGGCCGTCCCAGCCAAGCTGCGCCCTGCCAGCCCAGCGGCCAGCTTCGCGGGGTGAACAGCAGGTCACCCAGCACCATGGGCCCGAGGGCAACAGTCACAGCAAGACTCCGTGGGCGCCTGGACTCCCACTCAAAGATCCCCGCCACTCACGTGGGCCTGGAAGCTGGAAGGGGTGTACCCTCCACCACGAGAGAGTCAGACCACGGCCAAGGGCGTGGCCAGGGCGGCTCGGGCCGGTCTCACGGGCTGGGGGGGAGGCGTGGCCCTAGAGGAGGTTCCGTACGGAACCCCCCTTCCCTGCGCCCCTCCCTGTCTCTGACAACACAGACGAGGCGGCTGGGGGCAGGGGCTAGAGCCGGCCCTCCAGTCCATGCTCACTCACAGGAGAGGGGGACCCGCGCCCCAGTCAGTCTGCAGGAAGCATGGGACACAGTGAAACACTAGGAAAACACACTTGGGGCGGGAATCTCCTCGGCTTCAAAAAATGGGGAAAAGTCAAGCTTTCGCGATCTGTCAAACTGAACCCACACCTGCAACCACTTACTCAGCACCAGCCAAGCAGCCCCGCGTCTGAGTCACCCACAGGCAGCCGGTGCTTGGTTTTGTTTCGGGGGCGACGGACACAAACCCCCAGCGGCTGGAGATAACGGAAGGTACTGAACAGAGAACATGAGTAAATACAGAAGCTGGAAGGGAAAAGGTGGCGGGAGACGCACGGGCAGCCGTTAATTGCTCTGGAAGGCTGGAGGAAGGAAGCGCGTATCAGCACACGAGAATAATACCCGGATTCGGAGCAAGCGGAGATGGGATTAAAGAAAGGACATGCACAGTGCTTTCTCAAACAAGACCAAGGTTTTTACTGGGAAGAGAGTTATTGAAAAGAAAACACCACGCCTGGCCGGCCCCTCCCCATGGGGGGCGGGGCATCGCGGATGCCTGCAGGACCTTCCCAGCGGGCCCATCTCCGCCCGGTAGGAGGCGGCCCCGCTGGGGTTTCCTAAAACACCACCAGCCCAGCGCTCTCACATCCCTCTCAGACGTGTTCCTACAAAGAGCGGGACTGTGTACCCTCCCGCACCGCCCAGCTCCAGGGGCCAAAGGGCACGAACCGGCGTCTGGGGGGAGGGCAGGGAAGGTCAGACCTTCCCCAGCAGCTGGGACACGAGGGCTCCTGAAGAGAAAGGGAGGCCGGGCGGCTAAGGGCGCCCCTCTCCACCGCCTGGAGGCACTACCTGTGCTATCACGGGCTCCATCACTCTCTTTTGACTGGGGGATAAGCCCGTTTCTTCTCAGGGAACAGGCAGTAACTCCGTGTTTGCGCAACTGGTGTCGTTCACAGTTAGATTTGGTGGAAAAGAAGGCACCGCATTTTTGACAAGGGAAGGGTTTCTGACCTGAATCAGGGGAAAAAAAATACATATTTACCTGGCTTTCTACTGCGGCGAAAAAGGAAAGTCTGCTTCCGCTTCCTTCTCCAGGGATCACTGGCATTGGTTCCCACCCCCCACCCCTTTCAAGAAAATAAAACACATTAAGAAGTATACAGGGAGAACATCAATAACGCAAACGATCATCTTCCCTCATCCTGAGTGGGATAAGTTGTCTTTAAAATACTGAAAGTTAACAATGAAAGCAAGACACATATCTTTAAAATAAGTCTCACAGTTTAAAAAAAAAAATCTTACAAGATAACAAGAACAGAGGTGAGAGGAGGGACGTGTGCAGGACACCGCTTGTGCCCAGAACAACGAGGATGCCCATGTGGCATCCCCAGCCTGGCAGCACCGCAGATGTGGGGAACCCAAAGGAATGGAGGGCCATCTTGAACCCCGGGGGGGTCTCCGGGGGCCTGACCCGCCCACCTGGACAGGAAGAGCTGAGTCCTCGAATTCCCAGGGTGCCTCCCGTCCGACCTCTGCTCAAGGCTCCTGTGGCTCTAGCCAGCCAGATGGGGAGGTTCTGCCCCCTCGCTTTACACTTGTGCCAGTGGGAGATGAGGGGCCAGCAGGGCCGAGTCTCCCCAGAGACCATGTGCTCCACCCAGTACCCCGAGTGCGAAGAAGCTGGGTCACCGAGCGCCCCCCAACCTGCCTGTCACGGCTGCTATCTGCTGTGACCAGCACCCCCTCCTTCCATTAGGAGCCCTTCTGCAGGCTCCATGGCAGCTGATCCTGCGCCTGCAAGGATAGACGAGCGGCAGAGACAGGGCAGAGCGTGAAGACAAAGAGAAGGAAAGAGGACGGGGGCCGGGGAAGGGAGGGGGTGGGCTTCAGGGCACGGGACTGTGCTACCGTCTACTGCCTCAATGGTGTCCTCTGCTTTCCCCAGCTGCCATGTTCCAAGATCTCAGCTTCTGAGGTCACTGGGAAAAGGCTTTGTGTAGCAACAAACAGGACTCACTGCTGTCTCATGACCCCAGGGCTGCCCTGGTCAGACACACATGCACACACCCTGGTCAGACAAACAGAAAGATACACACACACACACACACACACGCACACACCCCGGTCAGACAAACAGAAAGATAGATACACACACACACACATGCACACACCCTGGTCAGACAAACAGAAAGATAGATACACACACACACACATGCACACACCCCGGTCAGACAAACAGAAAGATACACACACACACACACACACACACGCACACACCCCGGTCAGACAAACAGAAAGATAGATACACACACACACACATGCACACACCCTGGTCAGACAAACAGAAAGATAGATACACACACACACACATGCACACACCCCAGTCAGACAAACAGAAAGATACACACACACACACACACACACGCACACACCCCGGTCAGACAAACAGAAAGATAGATACACACACACACACACACCTGCAAGACACAGCAAGCAAGCAGGCAGGCAGGCAGCACTGCTCCCGTGACCCGCCGATGGGGGCTGGCCTTCCATTTAGATTCCAAGGCGCATCACCAGGCCCCAGGGGAATGGACAACATGGGCCTGGCGCCCGGGATTCCCAGGAAGGGAAGGACTCGCAACACCCGAATCCACACACCCCAAGTTTGAGCATCAGCTGTAACCAAAGAAAGGGACGTCCACTCCCTTCTGAGATGGTTCCAGACAGCTGATAGAGGTTTTTAAACACAGATGTCTAGAACCATCAGAGACAATGCAGTTAGAAGGACGGGTGAGTGGAATCAGAAAACAGTCGTGTGCGGGGCATCCCTGGGGGTCTGGCGGTAAAGAGTCCGCCTGCCAGTGCAGGAGACCGGGGTTCGATCCCCGGCCCGGGAAGGTGCCACACACTGCTGAGCAACGAGGCCCGAGGGCCACAACCACTGGGCCTGTGCTCCGGAGTCCAGGAGCCACCCCTGCCGGGCCCACGCGCCTCGATCCCGCGCTCTGCAACGAGAGGAGCCAGCACAGTGAGAAGCCAGTGCATGGTGGCCAGAGAGCAGCCCCACTCGCTGCGACTGGAGAAAAGCTCGTGCACAGCAACGAAGACCCAGCACAGCTGAAAACTAAAAAAAAAATTCACTCTAAGGGGCTCCACGTGGGCCCCAGAGGGTGAACAGGAGAACCCATGCTTCACATACCTCGCAGGTGTTTTCTGCTAAATTTATAAAAATGCCCATGTTAAAAAAAAAAGTCAAGCTTTTTGTGTGAAGACAAGTTGTAAAGCATTTTAACGTTTTCTGTGTGTGTGTGTGTGTGTACCCTTCAAATTATTTCTTTTCACTAAATGTCGAATCTAATGTTTAATAATTATTCAGGTTCTGTTGTAAGGAAGAAGAAAATATTTTCCCTTTAACATTTCATTCTCCAGAGGCAACAATCACAGTCTGTCTGAGTCAGGCCAGTGTGAAAACAAGAGAACCAGGCCCAAGAAGAAAACAAGTCAGAAGCTGTGAATTGTGATCTGGTTCTTGATTTCAAACAGAGCGGCTGGCTTCTTGCTTCTCCCTACTATATGAGGTACTCTACAACCTCCACACTGGGAAACGCTTCACTTTTAGAGCCAGTTTCAAGAGTCAGGTGGATGTCTCATGATGAGGAAGATTCATGCTAAGGTTAGGTTTAGAAACCAACTCAATGACCTGGAAGTATCATATCCAATTAGGAAGATTCCCAAAGTGACAACCAACAGGAGTCTTTAAAAAGTCCCCCTTTCACTGCATAAATCACACATTTTAAATAGCAGCGTGCCCTCAAGACTGCATGGACAGAGGAAAACAAGAACGCTTCTAGTATTCTGTCGTCACCGTCTTCAGAAAAGCCTTGCTGACTGGTGGTCCGTATGGAAGGTATCCAATGATTTTGCCCATCTGGTAACAGCCACGGAGACTGCATTAGCAGGGGTATTTCTAAATGCACCTGCAACTACCTTCACAGGCACCTTTGCACCAAAGACCTGTGACATCCTTCAACCCACACCCGTGGTGTTGAAACAGCAAGAAATGAAGAGAGAAATTTTACAAGAGGCCCATGGCGCTGTCTGGCAGGCAGGGCAGGAGGGAATGAAGGGTGAACGCCCAGAGTAAGTGTGATGACCTGGCTTCGCCCCCTCGGCCAGCTCACCATTGCTCTCCTGACCCCCGGGTCTCTTTCTTTTAGGATCCGGCCGAGATGACGCAGGGCTGGCCAGGAAGACGCTCTCAGAGCTGCAGCCTAAGAAAGTGAAAAGCAGTCAAATCCCAGCGAGGTTGGGAGCACTGTCCGCAGAGGTGTGCATCCCACTGGGAGCACTCTCCACACAGAGGTGTGCATCCCACTGGGAGCGCTCTCCACACAGAGGTGTGCATCGCACTGGGAGCGCTCTCCACACTGAGGCGTTTTATCCCACTGGGAGTGCTCTCCACACTGAGGCGTTTTATCCCACTGGGAGCGCTCTCCACACTGAGGCGTTTTATCCCACTGGGAGTGCTCTCCACACTGAGGCGTTTTATCCCACTGGGAGCGCTCTCCACACTGAGGCGTTTTATCCCACTGGGAGCGCTCTCCACACTGAGGCGTTTTATCCCACTGGGAGTGCTCTCCACACTGAGGCGTTTTATCCCACTGGGAGCGCTCTCCACACTGAGGTGTGCATCCCACTGGGAGTGCTCTCCACACTGAGGTATGCATCCCACAGACTCCAGCCCCCACGTGGGTGTTGGTGAACAGAGGGTGGGAGAGGTAGGTTGGATCCAGGCTGGCAAGAAAGATCAGTGAGACCAACCACAAGGAAGTGGGCGAGGCCAGGGACTAGGACCGGCAGAGCTGGAGGCACCTCAGCCCTCACAGGGTCCTGATGCTCCATTTCACCAGGAGGAAGTCGGATGGGGCTGAAATGAACCATTTTCTGGCACTGTCTCTTCTACCTGCAGCCTGAAAACACACGGAATGCTCACGAGGAGGAAAGGCGGAAACCAATGAGCCATCTTCTGAAGAGGCGGCACTGATCAGGCTGAGGAGGAAGGAACCAGGGTGGCCCCCCCACCTAGACACCTTGGGCCAGCAGAGGAGCGGAAGGAGGAAGGAGCTGGGAGTGGAGACCGTGCTAGGACATGAAGTGCGCTAGCCACGCCAGCTTCCTCCTGAGACTCGGTTCCTAGAGCCTGAGTCACGCAGAGAAAGGGCTGAGACCACAGGCCCCTTGCCTGAGCAACAGCGAGTCCCCCGCTGGACACTCACTCTGGGCTGCTTAATGCTGCCTGTTTAGGTGGCGGGATGCCCTGGGAACATGTCTGGGAGACCCCGTAGAGACGCTGGAATCCCGTTCCTGCTGCTGAGCACTCTCTAAAATCACTAAGCAGCTTGATGCAGAGGCTGTGCAACATCGGAGGACGGTAAGTGAGCCCGCGGGGCAGCAGCCTCCACCCGGGCCGAAGTGTGTGGCTAACACCTGCCTGTCAGCAGCTCGGGGTCCACAGCCGTGCCACACCTTGTCTCAAGCCACCTCCCCATCCTGCATGTTGGAACAGGTCAGGACACACACGCACCCCACATCCTCAGACACACACGCACCCCACATCCTCAGGCAGGGCCTGGCGGCGGCAGGGGACCTGGCCAGGCTCCCAACCCAGGACCACCACTGAACACCTGCGGGCAAATCACTCAACCCGCCCTGAGCCTCGCTCTCCTCGGGGCAAGATGGGGAAAGCATGGCCCTCATGGCCCATCACCAAGACCAGCTCTGGAGGGCTGCTCCACCTCCAGAGGCGAGGCCCGCGATGCCCACGGCAAGAACACAGGGAAGACAGATGGGGACAGACTCCTGGGGAGCGCAGTGACTGAGCAGGGAAAACAAGGTCATGCCTGCTCCCACCCGCCCGTCTCCCACTTCCCTATTCCCCACTCCGTGCCCACACCTCCAAATTTTAAGCCAAGAGGACGCCTGGGCGCTCGAAGGAGACTCCTACCAGACGCCTGCAGAAACTTAGCACAAGTCTGGAGAGGAAGTGCCGGCCACGTGGTCCTCTCAGGGAGACCGTGGGCTTGCCGGGAAGAGCACAGAGCGTCCAACAGTCGGGGGGACCCGCCGGGCCCAGGGCGCCCGGGGAGGAATGGTGGGCAGGCAGTGCCAGCTCATCAGACCCGACCAGCTGGCTGCTGAGAAGTTGGAAGAGGAGTGTTCACTTCTCAGAGACCGTGCAGGTGACAGGCGGGCATTACCCTAACAGGGCGGCAGGAGAGACTGCCGTGGGGGTGCCCTCTAAGAAACGCTTTCCTCCTGAAGCCCCCCGGGGCCCTCGTCACCCACAACGGCTCTGCCACCCACTCCCTGTGTCCCCCTTCAGCCTACCCCAAACAGTGCATGGGAGACGCATACACTAAAAATTATTTGTTGCTTATTTGAAATCCAAGACTTAACTGGTATCCTGTATTTTATCAGGCAATTCTGTACCATACAACTCTTTTGTTTTGTTTCAGGTCCAATCAATTAATATTTGTGTGGTCATCTCCAAAAGGTTAAGAATCTCACCCAAACTGTCCTTAGTTCAAAGATATAAATCCTGTTTGAATCCTCAGTGACTCAGAATTAAGATGGGAGTTGCATGGTCACCTGACCACTAACCACCTGGTGTCAAATTATTTAAAGAGTAGTTCTTAAACTTCTCTTTAAAACCCAATATATGAAAACATTTGAAAAATACTCTGGGGCTATCTATTTGACAACTTAAACCTGTTAATTAGAAGAATATATTCGCATATTTCTCTGGAACAATCTACTTTAGTACAAGTAAAAAGTTTTTTAAATTCTAAAACTAGTCTGTCACTGATGATCACGATAACCAGAAGGTGTGATCGCCTCAGTGAACTGAAAAGTGGCTGCACAATCTGCAATATTTTCCTTTAGAATACACAACAATCAAAAGAACGTCACAGAATGTTTGCAGGTTTTTTTTTTTTTATGTTTGCAGTTTTAAAAGTTGCCTTGAGGATGCAAATTCTTCTGTCAAAGTCCCCATGACCCTAGCTGCCTCCTCCCAACTGAGGGACAAGATGGCCCAGGGCCACCGCTCCTGAAAACACCCCAACACCTCCCTTTGCCAGCCACCCTTGGAGGACCAGACGACTGAGACAGGCCATTCTGGTTACAGAATCTTGGGCCATCAGACAAGCCCCCCCAACTCCTGGGTCTGAAGAGGAGGACAAGCTGGGAATTGGGGTGGGTAGGAGGGCTGCCAGGGCGCCCCCCCCCCTCCGCCAGCCCTCTTACCAGTGTGCGTGAGCATGTGCCTCTGCAGGGAGCTGGCCCAGGGGAAGACCCGCGAGCAGTGCGGGCAGTTGATCTTCTGCAGGCAGTTGGCGTACGAGTTGCGCTTCGCCCTCAGCAGCCTGTCCTCGGGCGGGCTGCCCTGCTCCTCGTCGCTGGGCCCGTTGTGATCTGTGGGGGCTGCGGCCACCTCGTCCTGGGCATCATCCTCCGCACTCTGCAGAAACGGGCTGAACTTGTTGGTGTCCGTGGTGGCCAGCATCTTCTCGATGCTGGCAAACTCCCCGCTAGAGTCTAGGTCCACCCCGCCGCTGCTGCGTGCCCGGCTCCGTGTCCCTCTCTTCCGGCCCCTCTTCTTCGACAAGCCGGCTGGTCCCTGCTCAGTCGGCGAGGCTGCCTCTGGGCTGTTGGTGGAGGGGGATGAGTCACTGGATTCTTTTGGGCTGGTGACGTCGGTGGTGGCTTTGGGGAGGGCACCCCCGACACTGTCTGAGGCCGCGGCAGTACTGCCGGTTCCTGTCGGCCCTGGGTCGGCCACCTTGGTCTTCAGCAAGGTGGGGGCCGAGGACACGGATGAGATGATCTGGGCGATGGAGGCCAGCGGGGGCAGCTCGTCCGTCACGGGGGGCTTTGGCAAGAGCAGGGGGGGCTTGGGGCGCAGCGGCCGCAGCAAGGCTGGGCTGCCGAGGGTGGAGGTGCCCAAGAGTGGAGAGCTGTTGACCAGGGCTGAGGAGTAGAGGGGCACGGCTAGTTGAACGGGGCCCTGCAGGGGCAGCGCCGTGGCTTCCAGAGGGCTAGCTGCCGAGGATGCTGCGGCCGGGACCCCCGGCTTCTCCAGGGGCCCGCTGGCGCCCAAGGTCGACGGCAGTGCGGGGCAGGCCGGTGGGCCGGGGGAGGCCTGCTCGCTGCTCCCGGGTTCCTGCTCAGGCTTCTTGGCCTCCCCAGAAGCAGCTGCATCCTTGTCTCCTCTCCGGAAGTTCTTGGGGATGGACAGGTCGATGGGCTCCATGGAGCAGTCATAGGGGGCAGAGGGGCTCAGGAAGGTAGCCGCGTTCTCCTGCTTCACCTGGATCAGGGCCAGGCCCTTCTGGGAGAAGTCCAGGGGCTCGTTGAATTCTGCGGCAAAGTTGCTGGCTGGCTCCACTTTGACGGCAACGTGCGGGGGCAGAGGCTGTGTGGGGCCCGCGGGAAGAAAGCCATTCTGGGGCTCCAGGAAGGCGGCCAGGGGCTTGTGCTCGCCCTCGTCGCCGCGGCCCGGGGCCTCGGCGGGTGCGTCGGCGGGGCCCAGGCCGTCGGCCGCCAGGACGTAGCTCTCGATGTCGCGCTCGGGCACGTGCAGGTGCTGCTTGAGCACGTGGTGGATGCAGTTGCGCTTGGCTGAGAAGGCGGCGCTGCACTCCTTGCACTCAAAGGGCTTGCGGGTCTTGGGGCAGCCGCCCAGGCCGCGGCCGCAGTGCGCGCGCATGTGGATGCGGAGCGCGCGGTAGTGCTTCAGGTCCTCGCCGCACAGCCGGCACACGGTGTCCGGGGAGCAGAAGGCGTCCACCAGCTCGGCCGCGCTGCTCGTCACGTACTCGATGTTCTTCTCGATGTCCTTGCGCGTGGCCTTGAGGTGTTTCTTGCGCAGGTGCCGCTCGCAGTTCGCCTTGACCGTGAAGGGGTAGTGGCAGATCTTGCAGATGTAGGGCCGCTCACCGCTGTGCGTACGCAGGTGGCGGATGAGCGCGGCCTTGTCGGCAGCGATGTAGTCGCAGATGTTGCACTGGTAGGGCGAGATGCCCAGGTGGGAGCGCACGTGCGCGCGCAGCACCCCGGAGAAGGCAAAGACCTGGTTGCAGAAGCGGCAGGGGTAGAGCACCTTGCGCATGGCCGGCGCCTTCTTGCCGCCAGGGCCCGTCATGATAGCCTTGAGGTCCCCCTCTGTGATCTCCTGCTTGATCTTGGCCTCCACGCTCAGCGGCAGCAGCGCCTCCAGGAGGCTGTCCTGCTCCAGCTGCGTCTTCACCTCGGCCTGGCCAGGCAGCTCGAGGCATGGCGGCTGTAGGAAGAGCTGTGCCCCCGACTTGGGCGGCAGCAGGTGGGTGCCAGGGGCCGCCTCCACCGTGCCCTTGAGGAGCTTCAGTGGTGGCGGGGGCAGGCTGGGGCTGACGCAGCCCGGGGAGGCCTGCTGGGTGTTGACCAGGGGCGGGGGCGTGGATGTGGCCACCACCGTGCGCGGAGCGGCCAGGGGCTTTGGTTTCAGAGGGGGCATGTGCTTGAAGACAGCCTGCAGCGGCGCGGCAGGCGCCTTGGCCAGTGGCGGGAGGCCAACCTGTGGTGGTGCGGCTGCTGCCATCTTCAGGATCTGCTGGATGTCCGCCAGCTCAATGGCCGGCTCCCCAGAGATGGGCTTCACCACGATGCTGCTGTCGGGCTGGATGATGAAGCCCTTCTGGAAGGGCTGTAGGGCCAGGTGTTTCACGCTGTCCGCGGCGGCTGGGAGGACGGCGAGTGCCCCACCTAGGGCAGCGGCGTCAAAGGGGGCCAGGCTGAGCAGGCCGGCGCAGCCAGGCTCCTGAGGTAGCTGGCACCGCAGTGCCTGGAGCTGGATCGCCTGGTTGTCATCCGGCGGCGGTTCCTCAGCCGGTGTGGGCCGCACATCCTCCATGTGCTGCAGGCCCAGCACTGCCAGGAAGACCTTCTGGTCGAGGTCATCGCCTGGCAGGGCCCTGGCCTGCAGCCGGTCTGGGCCCTGGTCAGCAGCCACGTGCGTCTGCTTGTGCAGGGTGAGCGAGGAGAGCATGGGGAAGGCCTTGTCACACGTGTCGCAGACGAATCGGTGCTGCTCACTGATGCACCTGCGTAGGTTCGTTTCACACCAGGCCTGCGGGGAAGCCAGGCAGAGAGTCAGAAACCACTCCCGGGTGCACAGCAGGCCTGGCCGGGCCCTTATCCCGGCACATGGGAGCCCACCCTCCCCTGCGCTAACACCCCCAGCCTGAGAAAGGAGCACCAGCGGATAAGCACCTTAGGAACCGCAGCTTCCCGATGAGGAAGGCAGTCCCCAGGGCCTCTGGGCAGAGCGGCAGTAAAGTACCGTGAAGTACCGCCGCCACAGAGGCTGGGTGCTCTCTTTAAAAACGTGGTCCCTACAAACCTAACTGACGGTAACTCCCTGCCATCAGTGGAGAGTGGGCTTCCTCTGACTGTGGGCTGTGGGCACTGCCTGGGAAGGGCCTCAAGGGAGAATGGGGTGGGGGGTGGTGGCTGGGGCTACAGGAGCGCAGAGACGTGGGTACACACGCGAATGTACGCATGTGTGTACATGTGGGTGTGTGCAAACGGACGTACGCACACGAGCATATATATACAGAATAAGACACTGAGCCTGGGGCTTCTGAAGAATTTCACTGTTGGTATCTTTTACCTCAATTCTTAAAAATTTGAAAGAAATGACTGCCAAAGTAGCTTTGGCAGGTGTTTTACAAGCAGAGAACAAATGCAGCTCAGGCTAACAATGACCCAGAACATTTGAATAGAAACTACAATGCCAGAGATATTTAGCTGAGATGTGGACGTTAAAGAACCACTGTTAACAATACAGATTCAATTCAGCTAGGGTTGTGAGGGGTAGACTGAGCCCAAAGGGCAGTGTTTTGAGGAGAGCCCGCCTCGGGTGGGGAAGCTGGGTCCCGCCGCGGCTGACGGCGTACCTGAGAGATGCGGGGAAACTTCCGACAGGAGAAGTCGGTGAAACCCAGGTCGTGGAAGCCGGCGGGGATGGCGGGGTTGTTCTGGATGAAAGGCCGTCCCACCGCGTCCCTGGGGAGCTGCTTGTGGACCAGCGCGTTGTGGCGCAGCAGGCCACGGTGCGTGCGGAAGGTGACGCAGCAGACATCGCACCTGCCAGGAGAGGGCACAGGCCGTGAGGCGGCGGAGCTCCCGCCCGCCCACCGCGTGAGGCTTCCTCCTGCTTCATCTCAAGCAAGCAAAATAAAGAGGCTATGGCGTCAAGAAGCCAACCAGCTCCTGGTGAGCAACACTAAACTCCTTAAAGAAAAATAAGGGGTCCTACCGGCCCCCCAGCCTGTGCAGACGGCAGAGGTGTGAACAGGGCTGGGAGCCTGAGGCCGCCTGCTCCAACCTGTGTTCACATAGGTGAAGGGAACATGTCTCGCCCCCAACTCCATGGATTCTGATTATCAGAGATATTCGTAAGCCAGAAAACACACATTTCCACAGCAGCTGGAGCAGTCCCACTAGCATCCCTGATGTGTCACTGGGGTAAACGGTGATCAAATTCTCCAGTGGAACTGGGAGCAGGTGACAGTGACCATGTAGCCCAGTTCTGAGGCTCCCGAGGGCACCCCACAGGGGCGGCACACCACCTGACCTTCATCTTCCAGGGGAAAACACGGAGGCTCGAAAACCGCCGGCAACACGGGGGAGGCCACACAGCCAGGAAGTAGCAAAGCCGAGTGCTAGCCCTGTTCACGTGCCCACCCTCCCCTGCCACCAAGCTGTCTCCCTGTCCCAGAAGGGCTCTTACAAACATGGTCCACTGAAAGAGGAAAGACTGTCACGCTCCACCTCAGAGACGACCGCACACACCTGACCTGGCCTGGGCCACATGGATGCATCACAAATACCACTTCATAATATAATGGTGTCTCCATTTCCTCCACATTTCAGATCAGTCTCCTCAGTCTTCACTTGAGCCCAACCACCATGAGGACATCACCCACACCCTCTGGACCTGCACTGCATACAGATGCCATGAGAACCTCATTTAAACGGAACTGAAACATCCCCAGTCACAGGGGGTCCATCTCACAGGCTCAGCTGCATCAGGCAGTGTAGATCACAGGAAGTGCCCCCTGGACAGCACGTCTTTCCAACCACGTACACATCCGCATGTGCTCCCACAGAAATTCCAGGCAGGTCCTTTTCCGGCCTTTCGAGAAGGAACCTGGGGCACAGAGGGGTACAGCAACCTGCCCGAGCTGACACTGCACACACCCGAAGGGAAACTCTTTTGGCTTTGAAATTCTTCTCTGCAAGCCAAAGATGACACCTCACCTGTGAGGTGGCTGAGCTTCACAGGTGGCACTGAGGCCAGCACCAAGTCCGTGCAGCTCCATTCCTGTGTCGGGCCAGGATGGCCCAGCTATCGTGGTCCCGTGTCCCCACCCCCCACCCTCTCTCTGTTGAGAGTCAGTGTTATCATTCCGTTAAATTTAGCACACTGGGTTCCCATGAGCCATTCGGAACACAAGCCCCGCTTGAGGGGCCACTGCTTAAGCTCACCAACGGTGATAAAGGCTTGGGGGCAGTGACGGCCGCAGGGAGCCCAACACCTTTAGGTGTGGAAAGATCTCACAGCTGTGGCCGGTACTGTGTAGCTTCCGGGCCCATGTCTCTGGGCCCTGATTCCTGCCACTGTTCAGATCCTCCTGCTCCCCACCACCACCCCCGCCCCACCTCGTCAACCTTCCCCTCTGTCCTGTCTGGGCCCAGAGCAGGTGAAGTTCAAGTAACGGTCTGGAAGCTGGTCTGTGCCTTCTCTGATAGGTGAGGTTGAGAGGTAAGGAAGACAGGGAGCTATCCACAGCGGGCCCTTGGGCATCTCACCCGAGGTCTACGTTGGATCCCTCTTCCTAGTTAACCATTAGCACTGATGACATATATTTTGTGTCGAATATTTGCAGAGTGTTTACAATTAATCTTTACCAGCACCAGGACCTCACAACAAACATCTAAGCTCATGGCACCCTAGCAACCCAGCCAGTATGTGATCGCCCCACTACACCGGAGGTCAAGGCCCCGTCCCCACTCACCAAGGGAAGACAGCAGGGTGCGCTCCATCTGCCGGAGGCAGGCTCCTTGATCAAAGTCAGGTAAGGGGATGGGGTGGGAACTTCATTTTAAAAAAATCATGCACATTAAATATTTTACTCAACCTAAACCATTCAGTTGACCCTTACTATCTGGCAGATTCTGTGTTTGTGAATTTGCCTCCTTGCTAAAATCTGCAAACCCACATCAGCATTTGTGGCATGTTCTGGGACAGGGCGGGAGGAATCAGCCGCTCAACAGACATATATGTTCCCCGCTGGGCTTGGTCAAGGAGATGCTCCGCTCGCTCGTTTCAGCTCCGACTGTGAGCAAGTGTCCTTTTCGCTGTTTCTTTCCTGCCACTTTGCTAGCGTTTCAGCGCTTCTTCCTGATGACTCTGTTTAAAATGGTCACCACAGGCAGTACCACTCAGTGTCCCCAGGAGCTAGAAGCCCATGATGGGCTTTGCAGAGAAAAACACATGTGAGATGAGCTACAGTGCTGTCAGCTGTTTGAGTTCAATGGTGATGTGTTAATGGTATATATTAACAGAAATACACTTAATGAAACAAGTTTATGTATTGATTACTACATGAAAACGTGAGCAGAGGCTTGCAGGAAACAAACCCCATGTTTCCTCCAGGAACGACGGTTCAGTGTTTGCTAACTTTGCGTTCCTGGAACCTTTACAGAACATACCTACTGCATGTTCTGTAAAGAGAGAGCCCACGGCTTGTTCCCTCACCTGTCTTTTCTGGGGGCCAAGATCTAGTTCCACTGAGTGAAGATCCATGTCCTTCTCACTGTGAGGCACTGTGATATGACATCTTTGCTTTCTGGCTTTAGATGATTTAAGGTAGAGCAAGAACTGATTTCTGCAAACCAAACTCAACCAGCACCTACTTCTCATGATCATTCCTCTCTCCTGTTCACAGGGGTCTCGTCCATCCTACATTTGACAGAAAAACAAACAACAAAACCTACCCAATCTGAATTATGTGCAAGTCTGCCCAACTTCTTTTTCATAGAGACTATTCTTTAAAAAAAAAAGTCACTGGTTTGTAGAAAATGTAAATTACAGCAAATAATTACAAGCATTACTGGCACAAACCGGTTGGGGAGAGAGAATCCTGACTCTCAGCAGCCAGCATGTCAACTGCAGGTGAGCAGGTGTGCGTGGGCAGAGGGCTGCACTCATGTTGGACTTTCAACCTTAGAGTTGAAAAGTTTTTAAGCATATGTCTCATTATCAGCTTGCTGTCTGAGAAATGTGTGTGTGTGTTATGAACCTTTTTGTATTTATATACACACATGTATTTGCATGCACATGTACCAGGCATATTCAGTTCAGTTCAGTTGCTCAGTCATGTCCAACTCTGTCTGACCCCATGAACCGCAGCATGCCAGGCCTCCCTGTCCATCACCAACTCCCAGAGTTTACTCAAACTCATGTCCGTTGAGTTGGTGATGCCATCCAGCCATCTCATCCTCTGTTGTCCCCTTCTCCTCCTGCCCTCAATTTTTCCTAGCATCAGGGTCTTTTCTAATGAGTCAGTTCTTTGCATCAAGTGGCCAAAGTATTGGAGTTTCAGCTTCAACATCAGTCCTTCCAATGAATATTCAGGACTGATTTCCTTTAGGATGGACTGGTTGGCTCTCCTTGCAGTCCAAGGGACTCTCAAGAGTCTTCTTCAACACCACAGTTCAAAAGCATCAGTTCTTCAGTGCTCAGCTGTCTTTATAGTCCAACTCTCACATCCGTACATGACTACTGGAAAAACCACAGCTTTGACTAGAAGGACCACTGTTGGCAAAGTAATGCCTCTGCTTTTTAATAGGTCTAGGTTGGTCATAGCTTTTCTTCCAAGGAATATTATAAAATATAAAAATAGAAAATTTTAGAGGATGAGCCAAAAAAAAAAAAAATCCTACTTTGCTCTTGTGCCCCAGAGATCTTTTTGAGCACTCTCCTCTTTTGAGACCACGGCCTCAGTGTGGGGTATACTGGCATTCTGTGTGAGGCGTCTTGCATGGGTCACCCAGGGGATGAGGGTACCTTGGAAGGTGGTGATGTGGATTTGCTGCCCACTCTCGCAGCCGTGGATTTATCTAGGAATATCTGTTTCCTCCTCCATTCTCTTGCTGACCTTCAATCCCCTCCTGTTTTTGGCACATAGGACCAAGTTTCACACGTGGTAGGTGCTCAGCACACACGTGGCAGAAATACTCAGTGCCAGCCACAGGCCATGTCCTCGAGGAAGGCGGGTGTGGGACGGTGGGGGATGGGCATGAGACCCAGACGCTGGGAATGGGGAGTTGGAGTGGGTGGCCTTGCACAACTTGTTTCATCTGTATTCCAGCTGCCTGCTGTGTAAAAACTTCCCAGACATGGCTGAGATAAGAATCCCTCGGGACCTTGTGGACACCAGGTTCCCAGGGCCATGGCGGACGGGCTGGCATCAGAGTGACTAGGGGAGGGGCCCAGGAATCTGCAGGTGGGCAAGCACACTCATGTCAGACAAGCTGGGAAATAAGTGACAGTGAGAAGTAAGCAAGAGGTCTGGAATCTCTGAGCAACTTTGGCTGCAGGCTGGGAGAGCTCTCTCCCTTGCCGCAGAGCTGGGTTCTTTCTCCTCTGTACGTGGGGACCTTCAGAGTTACTGTAACTGTTAACAAAGATAACACAATGCTTGGAGAACTGCAAGGTACTAGACCAAACCTCACCATTACTTTACCATGCTAGGAACAAAAAACCATAATCTATTTCCTGGGAACTACCAGAAAACACAAAAATGAAGAAAACATGGAATTTTAGTTTCAAAGGGATGCCCTGTCCTGTTGCGCTCTTGAGAACCTCACAGAACAGCAGAGGGTCTCCCCGCCACTGGTGCACCTGGGGATGCCCTGGGGGAAATGGGTGTCCTTTCCAGTCCCCGCCCCGTGCCTTCTGCCTCCTTCCTCACCAGCCCTCTGCCACACTTCACTCTGGAGCCACAGCCCCAACTCAGAGCCTCCTCAGGACGTGCAACGAGCCCTCTGTCCACCACATCACACCTGTTTCCACAGGA